AGCTTCAGTCATGCATCCACTCATTTTTATTACACAAACAGACAGACCAAGTAGCATAAATCTGTTAGCAAACAGTTACAACTGATACAGAAATGAATTTGCAATGTCATTTGGATCCATTTAACATAAAATCTTGTGAAACTAGGCAAGATCTGCACATGACTAGTTCCAACTTAACACTGTAAGAATAGTGTCTCATTTCAGAAAGGAATGAAACTTTTCCAGAAAATCCACTGAAAATAAGACCGGTGTGGTATGTTGCCTTTTTTTTCTGGCCCACACATCACAATGCACACCATCTCAATATTTGGAAAATTGGCTTTCACTTAAATTTTCTGGATTTTAAAAGTCTGAGTACTGTCCAGGACCTAAATAAACAGAGCCAGGCCCTTTAAGTTAATTACTCTATTTGGAAGTAGAGAGATACATTCTCTTGTGAGTATAGGCTGTGTTAGGGGAAGAGAACACCGAATTGGGGAAATTAAGGAGTTAATAGAGAGCCATGCCTTGGCTTCTTGCCCCAGAGACAAGAACAACATGAAAGATGGGCAAAACCAAGAGGTAGTCTGATCTTTCACACTAGTTCTCCCCAGGGATTATCTCCCATTTCTTTCCCAAAGAAGCATTGTAATCCCAATTATCAATGCTATGAGAAAAGGACTCAAGACTAAGGATGCAATCATGAGCACATGAGAACAAAGTTCAGCTGGTTATGGTTTATTACAAGGTCTTCCTCATTTTAACGGAAGTTAGCTCTTTCTTAAGGTTAATATTGAGTTCTTACTTACTGTTACAGCAGTCAAACTCTAATAATAGCAGAGTAGTAAAAAATGAACCTATGAAAAAATACTTAATTACTAATAAAATAGAACTACACAGACTTTCCTGTGTTCCTCTTCATTAAAATTCCAATAAAATTAAGACTAAACTTAGTAAACAATTTAATGCCAAGTATATTTAATTGCATTTCTACTGTAGTTGACAGTTGATTTTAAATTAAACTGCAAGGAATAGACTCTGTGTAATTGATATGTTCAAAGCTTCCACCTCAGAGAGAAGATATGAGCATTTATTTTGATCACAAAATGTGAGATCATACTGTGGAGAAGCGAAGAGTGGTTATTTCCAAAATAATCTAGGTGATTATTTAATAAAAATTTAAAGAATATCCAGCTTCCTTCACCAGTCCTATCATCAAATTGTCACTTTGCAGAATTCTTATAACATTTATGGAAAATTCACCTATGTGTTTCTTTCAAATCCGTATTCAAACAGAAAACAAGACCATCTAGCTCAGGAAATACGCGCAGTATCTCTGCTTTTAATTTCTGTCTTTTTTGCCATTCCTAGTAGACAAGTTGTTGTTGGCTCTTTTTTCTGTCTGATTTATTCCTTCTTATCTTCAATTCTAAATAAACAGAAGTCACTATGGATTGTATGGCTACTACCTACACTGGATTACACATAAATTGTAACACACAAGATTATCATAAACCTAGCAAATGTTTACATGAGGTCAGCTCATCCAGAAATACATGTATGCACACAGAGAACATACTCAACAACTTTCTTTCCATAGACTTAATCAATTGTCCAGAGGAGTTCTAGGAACAAAACAAAACAAAAAAAACCTGAGAAGTCATAAATGCTTTGGCACAAAGAGCCAAGATTGCTTCCAAAATACATTGGAACCACTCTCAGCTGCAATTAAGTCAGTCCTTAAATTCCCACTGAAGTGGGGGAGTCCAAGTTTTTTGGTGGTGAAATGCACTTAACAACTATCACACTCATTCAGTGCAACAGAATGGTAGAGTCATCCAGCAGAGCCACAACAGATTTTCAAGAGTTCTGGCAACACAAAACATGGGGCTTCTGAAGAATGAAGACAATCAGCTAAATGCCACAGCACCCCATCTTTCAGAGATCCCTTAGCATACAAAATGGCATATGAAAACATTGTTCCCAGGAAGGTTGAATCATAACGGTTGGTTGGGATGGGTAATTTTTCTAAGTACGTCTATCACAGTTTTGTGCATGAGAATGCAGGGCCTTGTAATTTGGAATGCCTTCGCTCTTGCATTTATTATACTGTACTCTCCTAAATGCTCATAAAATGAGCTATTATAATGTAAATAAATGACAGGTTCTATCTAGAAGATGCATTCTAACAAAAATCTGTCCTAAAATCCTCTATAGAAAATCACTGGAAAGGTAAACATTTTATGAAGCAGATAAACTGATCTGACGTGTCTGCTTTGTATTTCTTCTGTGAAGCAAACCAACTTTAAGCGTTAAGCCACAAGGCATTCATAATTCACCAGAATTGCTCAGATAATGAAAGATATCCTTATATAAACCAAATATATTTTTATTTCTTAAATATTTGTTACCAGTACACACACCTTGACAGTCATTTGTTTGTTTCATGAATATGTAACTACAGAATCACGTCCACATCTTTTCTTCAGATATTGATATAGTAGAGAAAATAAAACAAGACCATATAACCAAGGAATTCAAGCTGACAAACGTTTCCAGCTTTTCACTTTATCCCCTCCAATGATTCTATCAAGAGCCAAACAGGAATATTCCTGCAGAAAACTCAGAAACATAGGTGCACATTGAATCTATTAATTACAATGGCATAATTTCCATTATTATTCTGATTATATCATTTGTGTCCTGTGCCATTACACAAGAAATGCAAGTTTTAAAAACATCACTATAATCTTTCTTACTCATCTGAATTATTTCTTACTCTTGAAATACTTCAGTATAAAGAAAAAAAAAAGGGTAAGATGGCAAGTGCAACAAAGTTAATGATGGAATGCAAACACATGAAAAGATTGTTTATAAACAAGCTACTTCGTTTTTAATTTATTGCCGTCAACTTCAATTACTCAACCTTTTGATTTTGCTAATAATTTCTCTGTACTCAACTGTTATATTTCAATCACACTAAGGTTTTCCTTATTTTGCATTTCCTTCTTGCAATTTCGATAGAGATCATTGGTAAGTATATAGAAAATAATCACATCTGTACTAAAGACAAAAACCAACAGCCACTATAAGAGGTATTGTGGTTTGCTCAAGTTATGGAATTGTAATTTCAATCATTTGCACAACATGAATATTCTCTACCACTTAAAAAGTTCAAGTGCCTTGGAAAAACTTAGCCTGAAGAGCTACACCGGGCTCACTAGCCTGCTGGTGCAACTGGTCTTCAAAGGAACAGCGCTGAATGGACTGTTTCCACTCCACGTGCCCCAAATATTCTATGTACAGCTTCAATTTTAACTCTGGGATCTTTGGAGCACGTTCTTACATTGTGGACAGTTAAACAGCTTCTGTGTCTGTTCACAGACATGCAAATCCCTAGGTCCAGTACAAAAGAAGCTTGTAAATGCTTGAGAGCAGAATTTCCTACATAAAAGAGAGCAACTGTCTTACTCAGCACTATGGGAAGCATTTCAAATTATTGTCTTTGAAAGGCAGAAAAGCTTTCAAAGAGGTGTGTAGCTCATTTGCAAAACCTAATCAACATTTCACCCACTGGAGTTCAGTGCTCTTCAAATCCAAATGCTCTCCAGCCTGGTACTAGCTCCAATCCTTTCTTTGTTGGAGGCAAAGGCGTCAGGCTGGGAGATATCTGCTTGATTTATAAAAATTGCACGTCAAAACACAAGCTGCACTGCACCAGGAATTTTTTTTTTTATTTTTTTTTTTTTTAATGCAATTTAGCTTATCTTTCCAAGTAACTAATAAATACAATTTTGACTGTTTAAACTCAGTACGTAGTTTTTTTTAATTGGCTGAAAACACAAAGATTTCTTCTAAATTCTCTCCAGACCCTCTGTTTAACCAGTCTACGTTGCAGTACTTGGCCTGAAGCACTTCTATTTTTAGCTCTAATGGAACAGTCTTAAATTGCCTATTTTCTGTTTACTAAAGTCATTGAGCTTGTTACCATGGAAACTGTGGCAAGTTCCACAGCTTAACTGTTTTATTAAATGGATTGAAGGCGCAGCTGCAAAACTTGAAAGGCCAGAACATCAATATCATACATAGCTTGAACTGCCATACGTTCCATACACTAAATGCAACGAACTAGAATCTAAGCTTTGCTATGATTTAAATCTTTAATATCTCTCTTAGTAGAGAAAAAGCGTAACCTAGATCAGAATCTGTTTTTGTCAAACTGCACTGCCTGTCAAGTTTCAGTGATTACTGTATTTGAATGGATAAATTGCAAATGATGTACACTAAGCCAGTCCCCAGTTATCAGGGCAAGACATTATCTTACAGTTGTGTTTGCACAAAGCATTTAGCTCATCACTGTAGCAATCTCATTAATTTTTGGAAATGCTATATTCTGTTAGTTTAAAAGGGAATTAAATAAATCTAATGACCTTGTCAAATGAATCTTCTTTTAAAAGTTACATCAAAGAATTAACAAAAAGCATTTTTTACATCTTTAATTAGGCATTTGAGACAGAAAACTAAGAAGTAGAGATGTTATGAAATTATTCCTTTTCATTTCAAAGTAAGTAGGGTATGCCCTGTATTTATGCAAATGAGAGTATTTCTTATGCTTCAACTTGAGTATAACACTTAAACCAAATACTCTAGAAAATTATTGAAAATTGTTACATTCAGAAGATTTTGTGATGGAATACAAAACTCTGCAAGATGAGACTGATAACAAATACAATTTTTAACACAAACCTAAGCAACATTATACAACCCCCCAAGGGATAAGAGCTAAAATAAGAATAGTGATATATTTACAGCCATAAATATTTAATGACTGATTCATCCTGTTGTAACAGAACCAAAAGCTCAAAGAATGCTTGACATTTAGAAGAATAGGGTTCTGCTTTCTTCAAGAGCTCTTGTTGGAAGGCGTTTGCATTGCTACTTTTGGCGCAAAACGCATCACAAGTCTGTCCACATAGCTATGTCCAGTGAATATAAAACAAAAAGTAAAATGGACATTTTAAAGAAGAGATCTTTCAGAAGAGGTAATAATCTAACAAATCATTGAAAGATATATCTCCTGCTGTGAGAATGCACATAATTATAGCGAGTTTGATGTTCAGCAGTTAAATTCAAGGAAATATCCTTCAATATCTGTTTGTGTAACTGGAATTAAAAAATAAAGTTTCCTTTGATTAATATATATATTTTTTTTTACCTTCCTTGTGTAGGGTCTACCTTCATCTGCAACACCCACATAATTCCAGTGAAAAATCAAGAGGGGGTAGCAATGATGTTTATTATTAACTTTGAGTACGTAACAGATGAAGAGAACACTGCATCTCCTGAGAAGTGCAACCCAATATTGCCATCCAAACTTGTAAATCGTAAGTAACACAATGAAAGTTGTCTGCTTACCTCTACTGTTAGCTGAGACAGTAATTAACTTGAGGATACTAACAACAGAGATACAGTGCAGTTCTATTGCCTGATTCATTTAGGATACAAAACTTACAAAAACAAAACAAAAATTTAGCAGGCCTGCTGTAGAGTTGGCAAGATAATCTCTCAGATCGTTAGTAGTACTAACATCATTGAAATAGGATATAAAAAAAATCATAAAATGGAAACATTTCACAGAAGTGCAATACCCTCACCAAAACTTCATCTGAAAAAGTGCAAAAATGCATTATAACAAAAAATATTTAACTTTAGCATACTCAAAACTGAATATTTCTACTTTTCTTTCCAAATAAAAAATAGTTTGAAGAAGATTTGATTATCTTGGATTAGCAAATATCCCCAGAAGTTACACCAGAATTATACATCTTGATTTTAATCAAAGTGAAGTATTTTGATTGGATTAAAGGAAGCAAGTTTTTTGGGATCAGCTTTTGTTTGCATTCATTCTTGAATGAAAGAATTGTCAAAGTTAGAAAACTCCACAAAAGTCCACTTCTTACATGGTGAACAGTGTAGCTTTCTGCCCCACTATATGCAGAACGGGTGCTCTTTTTCTGACCTTCATTCACTATGCACAGCAACAGCACATGATCCTTCTGCTTTGCATCTTCACACACATACCCTGCTATCACTCCCAGATCCCCAAAACACACCCTCATTTGTACAAGCTTTTAGTAAAGCACAGCATGCTCTAACAGTGAATGTTAACACTCTCCCCAGTCTGGTTGGCTCAGCAACAGCTGGAAATACCTTTTCACACTCTAATAATCTTTAACGCTGGTATGATAAAGGGACCTGGAACCTAAGTTTTCAAATCAACACTTCAGCTTTCTGGAGATAGAAAGCAAAGATGGTTACAATCCGCAAGAACAGAGGGGAGAATTTTCTCATTGTAAGCACTGCGTGCTACCTTAAGTGATTCTACTAATTGTTATAATTTCACTTATATTGAGAAGATTTGTGAGAAGCAAGCCTATAGCACTGCATAACAGCATTATCAGGTTCTTCCCATTCTTCATAATCTAAACATCCTGCACTGTGTCTTCTGCACAAAATGAGTAAGGTGTCATTCAAAGCTCTATGAAACCAAAAATTACATAAATTGGCCCCAGTGTTGTGGAAATATTCACATTTTAAAGCTTGCAGTTTACCTCTATAATTAATGGGGATTGCCTACAAAGCAGTATTATCATCAAGTCTGAGGAAAGAGCTGACTGGATCAGTTCAAATGGGCAAGAGTAATTCCAGCTACAGCTGTACAACTGTGCAAGGGCAGTGGATATAAAATTATGAAATGTTACTATTGATGGAAGCTAACAGAGCTATTGTTAAACATCAAATGCTTTTATTAATGTTCCTTACAATAATAATTTGAAACTCTTAAAAACCTAAAATCTTGGGGTTTTATACTTTCCCTTATTCTGCTCTTTTAAAATTGCTACATTTCTTAACAGCTCAGGAAAACAAAGTGTTTTCTGGTAACATTATGGTAAAAAGCCAGTTAAAGAATATCAGAAGAAATAATAAAACTGCATGAGAAAAGGAAAAAAATTACATGAAGTAAACCCCACTTGTATTTGTTTCTATTTCAGGATGCCATGATTTTGTGCATTTTGAATATTTTACTTCCTGGTTTAAAATAACACTTCCTGGTTTTGTAACACAGTAAGACTCTCCAGTTGGTTTGTGCTGACAAAGTAGAAGGTAAAAGACCTGATGGGGAAAGAAAAAAAAACCTCCACGTCCTGAAAAAGAGCTGCTTTCTGTCATCTCTGATACATCAGTATACACTTTTCAAGTGTTGTCACTTGCCATATTCTAAAGTAAAAGCCGCTAAAGAGGACATCCACACACACACACAAAAAAAAGCACTTAGTCAAAACATCCCTTTCTTATTTTACAGTAGTTATGCCTGATATGCACTCATCTCCATGCTGAGCACACTTTAATAATACAACTAGTTGGAGATCCTTGGCCCATTTAAAACTGAGAAAGTTCAAAGTGTAAATGAAGGGAAGGAAAGGTGACTTAAACCATTTTCTGCTAGTGAGTTCAGCCAGATGCCAGAAACTGGCATGAACTACAGCAGGCATGTGGCTGCTCCTACTTCCACCCAGTCACTTTTGTTGTCAGAGCAGACTGTTATGTGGGCAGGATGGCAGTACAACATGCTACACAGCCAAAAAATCTTCTCTGTAGATAGGATTCTCAAGAAAGAGGCCAACTTGAACAAAGTTTCCACAAAGCCTTGAAGATATTGTGTACAGGCTAATAATGTATTTGAACTAAAACAAAAAAAACCCACAACCCTGAAATTCAAAAGAGACAGAGTCCATTTAGGCAATTAAAAAAGTCAAAAAAAAGATTTTCTTTTTAATCGGTCATATTCTCAACATAAAGAAAATGCAAAAAGCAGATTCTAGAATGAAGTTTATTTTTCGTCTTGTTCTAATTAGAACATGAAACAGCAGGTAAAGCAGGAGACCTGTTTTCATCAGATTACATACAAAATGGGCAGTAATGAGTACTGGTTCAGAGAGGGAAAAGAAACAGAGTTCTTAAAATTCAGCAACCAATTTGGAAAATAAAAATAGAAATGGAATAACCAGCCACATAACAAGTGCAATGCATTTCTAACAAACAACAGAGACAAGCAACAGCTAATAATAAAAGAAAAGATTTCAGATTGCATTAGCATCTACTACCCAGAAGAACACAGATCATGAAAGATTCCTTTCCAGAGTTCCTTAGACTGAGTTTTCTCATATTAGAATGTCTTTTCAACATAAAAGAAAATAAAAATTTCTGAGTCAGGTTGCAAAAGAAAAGTACTAAAATGTGAACAGGAAACAAAAACAGTTATTTTCCTAATAAAAAAAAAAATCTCACACTATCAGTTTTTCTCTAGTTGGTTTATTATGAGTTTATCAAGTGTAAGGAAAAACCTCTTTATTCTAGAAGCAGCTACCTTGCCAGATGCAGCCAGCTGTTTTGAATGAGACAACTTACAATGGGGCTCCCTAAGACTGAAGGCAAATATATTCAAAGAAAAAAGAGCTTTTCATGCCATACACACAGTGCAGTTTGTTTCTGAAGGCTTGTACACAGAAAGACTGCAACCTGTAAATGTCCAGTGAACAAATGGCTAATACAGCCAGGTTCTGGTTCACCATCGTACCTGGCAGATTACAGTAATAGATTTAAGAAAAAGTGCACTAAATTTCCAGGAGTCTGATGACCGCACCTGAGTATAAATAATTTTATTTCTAGTCTGGTACTCAAGAGCTCCTGTCTCAGATGCAGCAAAAGCCTGAATAGGCAGTAATGTGAAAAGATATTGGCTTCACAAAGGCTTTAAAAAAAATCCTTTCAGCTGATCCTTTATTCGTCCTTGCAAGAATTTATTATTTTTCTGTGGTAGTCTGACTAATGCTCCTGTAATGAAATAGCTAAATTATGAATAATCCTAGCATGCAGCAAACCTGTAAATGATTACTGAATCACAGCTAATGACTTTTCACTCTTCTGTTACATTGTTTCTGTGCTTTACCACTATTCTATTTTTCAAGGTAAGTCACTCCACTAGTAAATGAAAAAAGACTTTGTTCACACATAAGTTTCCTTTAGGGGGAAAAAAAAAAGTCAGATCTCAATGTTTAAACTTCTAAAAACTTAATTTAATGCCTTATCCATCCAATTTGTATATTCAGAGAAGTTAGGAAATTTCTTCTGTAGACATAATTGGGAACATACCTTTCCAATAAGGATGTTTTTGTACAGTGTGCTATTAAAGTGAGACAAAGTGATTTCTGCTATAGATGTCTATTTATTATCCAGTAGCTCTAAATTCTGTCTCATTTACAGATACGAGAATTCTATTCATTCTTATTCATGGTTTTTAATAACCTTGTTTGCTTTTTATGTTGCCTTTTCTTAGGTCATGTAAATGTTTTATAATTACAGAAATTAAATTCCGTAAGAAAAATTTAAGTATTTTGACTTCATCCCACTTCACTATATTTGTGAAGTGTTTGAAGGTATAAACACCTACTTTTTAAACAATATGGTAAATAGCATTTAAGTGTTAAGATCAAAAGTTTTGAGCTACATAAACCCTACAGGATTGTTTGTACAAAACCAGCTAGTTCTTATGGGTTATTCTCTGCCACAAGTGGTAAGTTAACATTTGCCTGAAATTCACTGTGATCATAAAAACTGAATCCCAGAAGTATTGGTCATAAATTCACAGAAATCAATACATTCGCCTAAGTTACATAAAATGTTCAATTCCAGCTGAAATAACAAAGTAGGATATTTAGCAAAACATTCCTAGAAAGAGAACTTGTCCCTTTTAGACTCACTGTTTAAACAAAAAAAACTGTAGGTATTCTACAATAAATACATTTTATCCTAGGATAGCAGAAAATCCTTTTTACTAGTCTGCCAGACTACTGGTAATATCTGCTAACTGAAATGGTCCTGACATAAGAATTCCTGTAAGTTATGTCATACAGACTTCAATAAACCATTTTTCAAGTACTGAAATAATTTTTGAGTTTAAATATTGCTTTTAAATCATCCAATGTAAGTGTCCGATTTTATTCCCAAACCTGTCAAACATTCCAGATTGTCACATTCATCTACTCAATGAGTTGGATGAGGAATTTTCAGGTTTAAGGGACCAGTGGCATAAATTAACTCCCGGCATCTGACTCTGCTCTCCACAGCTGTGAAATATTTTGTGCCTCTAATGCTAGTCTGATAATTGCAAGAGATCAAAATCTGTCATGACAAGGATTGGACAGAAAGTCTTCCCACTCACAGAAATTCAGAGCTCTGAGGACTGAATTCTATATGAAGAATGTAGTTACAATTTTTCTACTCAGAATAGACTCGTTGTGGGACTGTAACATACAAATATGCACAAAACGGAAAAAGCCGCTTAGGACTGCGGTTCCAAATTTTTTTCATTTTCTGCCCTACAGCACAATGTTTTGGTGGCTTTTTTTTTTTTTTTTTAAATGACCTATATGTGATTTTTCTAGCATTTTTACTCTGGTCCATACTAAAGCAAAACTCCCAGTAATACGTAGACTGAAGAAGCTAATCAGATGAGATAATGTCATCACGAACTCTGTTCATTTAAGTCCCAAACATTTTGACTAGCTTGGAGAACCAAGCTATAAATTAATATTGATTCCCCAATACATTGTTCATTATCTCATGGGAGAAAGCTCAGAAAGTTATTTGATTAAGCACATAATCTCATTTGGTCAAAGACAGTTATTTGGGGATTACTTTATTTCTGCCTTATTTTATCACTTCAAAAATCTATATGCCTATTAAATACACCCCAGAATAATTTTTCTTTCTGTTATGCAAATGAGAGGATCTGCTACATATTTTCTTATACAAAGTTGAAACAAAAAACACTACTAGTACTAATTAATAAAACTTTTCAAAAAGAAAACCCTAAAAGGTGCTTATCCTTGACAAAGTTTGGCTTTATACTGATCCTAACAATGGAATTACAACACAGAAAGAATGCTCACTACGTCCACTGAAGTTAAATAAAGCAAGCACAACTGAAATTCAAATCATATCTTTTAAGTCAAAGAATGAACTCAAAAGTCAGACTTTCTTTTCCTGTCGTGCAGAGCACTTTGCTGTATTAGTAAGCATAACAGTACAGTAAGAGATAAGCATACATTTTTTCTAAACCTTTTTTGGACAATAAATTTATCATGAAACACTGTATGTTCTTTGATGCATAGGCACTTGCCACACCAAACATCACATGTAACAGCAATATTAACTCCTGACCTTACCCAAAATGAACTGAGGAGTTTTTCCAGGGTCTTATTTTTAGCTGCAACACCAAAAAGCAAATTCATCCCAAGTGAGAGCTAATCAAGAAAAATTGTGACCGGAAAAACAAAAGTTTCTAACTAGTCAACCAAAAGGATAGCTCTGGCAACTCCAATATCACATATATAATTTGCCTGCAAATTACAGTGAACGTTAGGTGACATGAGGCAGTGTGGAACTCTTTGCAAAGGAATAAAGCCAGACAACAATCAGCAGTAAAGCTGACAGAAGTACCTTTGGTATTTTCTCTTCAGAGTACTCCAAAACACCTGATCAACAGTACACACTTTAAAATAAATGAATCATTTTAATCTTCTTTTACAGGCAGAGAAATACTAGTGTGGTGGCTAAATTTCCTTTACTCATGGTGGTTATTTCCGGGACTCAGACTAGAAAGGAAGCTTTAGCCCCTGTAATTAACTGTTTGTATTACAGCCTCTCCTAGCTAGAATCACAGCCCTATTGTGCCATATCTTGTATAAACGGTCAACAACAGAAGGCAATCTCTGCTTAAAGAGGTTGCAAACTAAACAGAGGGAATGACACAGCTTTCAGTAGCTTTCAGTGGAGATGACTCGTGCATACAGAATGATAGAAAAAGGAACAGAAACTGACAATAAATAGGCTGTGCGGAGTCCCTGCAAAATTTCCTCTTGCTATTTAAACAGATAAGTACGAGAAGTGAGCATGAACAAGATTTTTTACGTAGACCTAGGTGGTCTCCTCCAGTTATATATTTTTATTCTTTTTTTTTTTTAATTGTT